CATCCCTAGTTGAAAATCTAATGTAGGGAGACAGTATCACAATTTCCGCATATTCTAATGAGTCTATGCCGCCCGAACTGATGAATATTGTATGTTTATTATTGACAGAACAATTTCAGCATTTATTAAATTGATATACATTAATGCAATACTAAATCTATGGCAGTATCATTTTTATTGACATTATTTTGCAAAGAAATGTGTCTTTAAATTTTTTCTTCAAAATTCACTCCTTTTTACATAAATTTCCATTTTCAATCCTTAAAATTCTGACAACCTATATTTGTTTTGTGGTAGATTGTTTTTCTTTTCTTCAAAGCAATATAACCACAAAATTTGAAGAAATTCTACTGAGAAATGGTGACACAAACCTATTACCTTAACGCCAAGATATTCTTGGCAAAACAGAAACTTGACCTCTATGAGGCATTTTGTTTTGCCATAAATAGTTGTAGATAATCATTTTTGCATCGAAACTTTCTTTTAAATTTCCAAAAGTTACATTTCTTATTTAAATTAATTTAATTTAATGTTTTCACGAGAGAGAAAAAAAAACATGAGAAAGGTATATCAGTTTTGGTACGAATCTTTGGGGGGATTAGCTTTTTACAAATAAAAGTGTAAAGAACGACAACTCGCAGGTACCCTGGTATCTTGATTCACAGAGAAGGGATTAATATCACAATAATATCATGTACTTATGAACATCACATTTGGCCGAGTTTACTTTGTATGAATCGAAATCTAAATTTGAGGTAGCTTTGAATACGAAAGCTGGGTGTTAACATTTTGAGTAGTTCGATAGATATAAGTAGGCGACTGTGTACATAGAACTTGACACCATTAAAACGTAAGTACGCGTGGTACACCCATAGAATTAACTCTCCCTAACTGTTTACAGCCGTGAACGTATTTTTAGCTTTTATCAATAACAGTCGCGCCTCATTGATTTGGGTGTCCCAACATATCCCGCCAGTATTTAAGGGTACCCTTTGTCCTTTTTCTGTACAAAATTGACCCTGTAACCTGACCATCTCACAAACAAAGCATGCACAGTTAAAACTAATAATCCAGAAAATTTGCCTCTGGTCGTTCGGTCTTTTTTCTTTTTCGTTCATATATTCATTCGTTCCCCCAAATATTTCAGTACTGTTTGTCGTTCATCGATTATATTCCTTGATTAACCTTTAAGTATTTGTCTGGTTGAACATGCATAATTATAAAACTTTAGTCATTTTGATTTAATTTGTTTTGTCGCAGAACTAGATGTCTCTACGTACGTGTTTTTACACATGTTTACACAGGTTCCCTAGCCTCTTTAAACCGCACAGCAAATAAAGAATGGTATTGTGAACCCCGACTGAATGGATAGTCTATACATGTATATTATGTTTCTCGACATTTTGCTACTAGCTCGATGATATCATCATAGCAAAAAACCGAACAATACTCGGCTAGAGTGTCAATAGACACAAGATATTGTAATAGAGTGAATGCGACCTTTCTTTCACAATTTAAAAAGCAAGAAAATTCATTCAGTCTACATTCGGATAACAATACCGGTTCGATTCCGTGAACGCACTTGACTCTCAAATGTCGTCAAAATAAATAAACGTTGAATAACTGCGACCGAGTAATTCAGGCACCCTGCCGTTAAAGAACATCGTTACTAACGGTGGTTCATTTTTAACTATCCTTTTGTATCAAATATTGGCCCAGGTTTTTCCAAGTCACGATCACACAATGATACATTTCTTCTAATAATGTCTCAAAAAGGTTCATTTGTAAGTAGGAATCTTCAACAGACACAAGCGGTGATTTAAAGGAACACCGGTAACATTACAAAAATTGTCAAATAGCATCGTATATTTGTGAAGAGACAAAGGCGTTACAAACGAGTACATGTATCGGTGGTTATTTTAAAGGAACATCTGTTATGCTTGTGAAAGGGTATCATTGATGTCTCATGAATTATGCAAGTTTTATAAAAAAAAAAAAAAATGTTGCGCCCGTTTTTACTTTTCAAAGAATCGATGTGTAACTCTCTTTTTTTCTTTTCATAGCGGAACTCTTTTTGAACAAAAATAAATCACTGCACCCTTTCCGTCCCACAAATTGTTATTTTACGGAAATAGCCGAGCGCTGTCCGATTGTACTGATAACGAACACTTGTATACCAATAATACACAAAAAAAACTACGAAACAGCATTGTGAAGTTGACGTTCTTCTATAAAAGGATGAGAAGGCTGTTATATATTATTATTTTGAATGACCAAACAGTCGTGATGACTATTCTACACCATAGCAAATCCGCGGGCTTATCCGGGATAACTTGCAATTACCGGAAAGACCCGACGATGTCCGATTGGATGGCTACAATATCACTTAACGCTGCGATAAGTTTAGTAGAACATGCTGCTTTAATTCTTTAATTAAAGTTAACAAAAACTGACACGAGTCGGGTTTAAACGATACACTGGTTTCAAGCGTCAGAAAAAAAAGGATACACGTAAGTGTCCGGCAGGTCGGAACGGAACTACGCAAACGTATATTTGTACACTTTAGAAAATTGATTTAAATGTTTTCGTGTTGTTGGGTGTTTTTTTTTTCTATTTTAAGAGAAAGTACTGGTATTGTAGGAACAATCAATACAGACCGTTTATCCTGACCCCAAACCATGTAACCACCTCCCGATCTATCTCAAAACAGAAAGATTACTGCATTTCTGACGTAATTATAACAATATATATGTGTTGGCACTGTAACAGTTGCCTCCCCTGGGAGGTTGGCAGAATTGAAGAAATACATCGATAATTATATTCTACAATAAACAGCTGTACGAAGATAGTTTATTTCAACAGTACGGTAATGTTTGATTATTCGTCTACAGGATAATGAACCAATCAGACTAATTTGTGTAGGCCCAGGGGAGGGGTGTTGGTGAGGTAGTCTACGTGTTCATGACGTATAACCATAGCATATTATTACTCACGTGCAGGTAGTAATGCTTTGAATGCAAATATCTGTATACTCATTAGTTTCTACTGACTATGTTTTACATGTAAACTGTATTTCAGATGTTGGAACTTGTACAGATTCGGGGAAAGACCCCCAACCAATCCCCAATCCCGGAAAATAAGATGTTTTCGTTTACACTGAACAAACTAAAATTTATCTGCTGCTTCAATTGCAAATTCAATGTATAACATTAAAAATAAACAAAGTACGGCTTTCAGTTGACCCTGCATATTTAACAGTTTCAAAAGTGTAATGACCTTATAACTGAAGCGTTGAAACACGCGTCAAACTGACATGTCACTTTAAACCCGGTGTCACTCAAAAAATAGAATACCACAAATTTAAATTTCAAATTGTCAGCTTGAGAAAAATTTAGGTTAACTTCGGACCCCATCCATATTTCTTTCTCATGATCGAATCCACGTCAATGAAAGTCTATAATTGTACTGTACGACAGTGAACGCATCACAGGTCTCACGTGGTTTTATTATATACATATCATAGTATATGTCTGTGTGCATATGTAGATATATCAACTAGATATGTGTTTGAATACTGCTTTTTATCATTGAATAATGGTATTAAATTTCAGATTAAATACACTGGGGCAGTGAAAATATATTTTTGTCTATTTGTATACATGTATAACCAAATAAACAGACTCCGGCCAAAACATGTTTGCATATTGTGAATTGACCAATAAAAGATATCTACAGGTTTATTCTGGTTAACTGAGCTATGATTATGAAGGGAATATGTTCATAAATGCTACACTACATAGTTTGTGCCTGCCCTATAGCTCCGAGCGTTGAGACCCGGTACATTGAACAAGATTATTATATTTTATGACCGGCTACGTGATTAACTTGTATGTATTGTATCAAGCCCGCTCCGAGATCACAGGGGCCGGATCATTGCAGGAATGAAGTAATTTTTAGCCAAATTATCAAATTAACGTGTTTTAAAAGTGTAAACCAAGACATCAGATTTGTTTCTTTGTTAAACCTAATCTATATCAAAGTAAACTTAAACAAATTTAAGTGCAACAAAACATTACATCATTTTGTGTACATCAAAATATCCTCTATTTTGATGCACTTTAAATTGAACATACAAAAAACTTTATAACAATTTACATGCGTTTGTTAAAAACCTGTGTATACAATACTTGCGAATGAGGTAAAGGTATTTTTTGTTTGTTCTGCAGACAGAATCTACGGGGTGTTTTAAGTGCAATTCATTTTATGATAAAAAGGAAGTCGCCGTTTTAATCTCTATTTCAAGAGTCGTGGAAATACTGCGTACCTATAATGTGCGTGGATGTGTGTACTTTCTTTTATTTTATACATTGCACGTGTGTAATTTCATTGGTGAATTACACATATAATATACTTCATTACAATTTAATATTGTTTGTGTGTTATTCACTATACATACAGTGATTCACACATAAAATGTCTATATACAATGTATTTAACTAAATAAAAACTTCATATATTTTACAACAACTATGAAACTAGTTATTGCAACTTATATTAATCACTCTTGTTTGCTCGGATGTTAGCATGGAGGGGGTCTTAATGTGGGAGGAAACCGGAGTACCCAGAGAATACCCACATGGTCGGGCAGTTGACCCCATACCTTGTCACGTCCGATCGGGGAATCGAACCCCGACCGCCTTGGTGAAAAACGCATGCGTTATCCACTAAAGCCACCCGACAACCATTTGTTTTGTAACATAATCAAACATACTGGTATTTTATATGTGTTTAGTGTCATCTTTTACCCCGGGCTGTCGTAAATAAAGGATAAAATACCCAATAGTATGACGGAGGAGTATATGACGTCACGATTAACTGACGTCACTTAATTCATCATTATCATGTCAGGTGTTGTTTTTTTGTTTTGTTTCAGACATGAAATGTCGATAGGTAATAATAATCTAATTATAAAATAATGTTTCTTTAAATCTATGATTTACCGTAGTACTTGAAGTAGGACAACCGATCTTCCTTCCCCATGTTTTTTAACTTTGGAGTTTTTTTCCGTTTTTCATGTTCCTCTGCATGAGCTTTATGGTCCATTTTTGGACGGCTGAATGTCGACTCAACACTGTCGTCTAAAGCCTTCTTAAAACGATGTCCGATTTTTCTGGCAGTGACACGTTTAACTATATCTGTCCAACTTGCATGTCTAGCTGCCAGCGCCCTTGACCTATTTTTCTTATCCAGTATTTTGGCCAGGTTGGGATCTGTCCGGAGAGTACGCCGATCCCGGTCAGTTTGGGGGTCGCCATTTCGTTCGCTGGGAGGGACCGGATTACGAGATGAAATTTCGGAGGAAGTCCGCCTCCGTAAGGTATTCGCATTGTTCCCACGGCGTTGGCGTATGTTTGCAGCCGTCGCCAGAAACACCCCTCGAGCTCCTGGTTGCATGACGTCACAATTGAATTGACGTAAAAATATCCGATTATTAAATTAACACTGATTTGAAGTTATTAATCCAGAACTTTGTACCTTCCCATATTTAAAGTGTTTTATTTGAAGTGAAAATCCAAGAAGAAACATAGTTAATCCATAATACGAAATTCACACAACATATCCTCTTTTACGTCAAGATTTACGTCACACACACGTTTTTCATCAGCAGCAGTTATCGTCGTTTCACATAAACGGCACGATATACATGTAGCTAGGCGTAACGTTGAATCACAAAATACACTGTAGGTAAATATATAACGAGTATTTCACGTTATCTTACATCCCAGGGAACGTCCATCACAATGTAAACTTTGCCACGTAGCCGACAGAAACAGGCTGACAATAATCCAGGCGTACGTACGTTCTTTCACAATTCCACGCTTCTCTGTCTAATGAACTTAAACTCTTCTCATATAACACAACAAATTGAAAAGACGACACATTTCACCGCATCACAGTGATTTTTAAAAATGTGAATGATCAATCCAAGTCTCTGGGAGAAGGTCGAAGTAAATGAAGTAGTGTCATGCGATGACCTCTTTGTTTTGTTTTATATTCACTCGAACGCACCCAAGCGAGACCGAAATCGCAATATTGAGAATTTTACAAGAGAGAGTTTTTAAATGCTTAGCACGATCCAATATTCCTATTGAACTAATAACACCGCTCTTTAAAACTACTTCGGTTGGGCTGTATGTGTCGGCTTACGAGGTGTATTTGTATATAACAGGATATCCGTAGAATAAACAGCCAGCGAGTACAGGTCTTCTGTCGAAATGTTCAAGCTAACTGGGAAACGATAATGTTGCAAGTTGGTCGTTTCACAGCAAAAGGCTGATAAGAATCGTGTACTCTGGGTGTATTTAAAGAAATTCAAGCCACTTTGTTCGCTTTAGCTGATTGCACGTGTCTGGCTTGAGAATCTTTTACATTCTTAATTTGACGAATTTTAAGCAAATTATGTAATACTTAATGAAATGAGGAAATACCTTTATTCAAAGCGCCTTTATCATCTAAACAGACAATGCATCATGCTCAAGGCATCTCAGATCATCAGCGATGTACAGTATAAAACCCCGAGGGGTGCCGCATTGACATTGAATTGCACAACCTATTAGCACCCATAGCTCGCTAGAATTTGTTTATCCTTTGATACCAATGACTGAACAGCAGTAATAATATTGAGAGAGCGTCTTACTGGCTTTGTGTCCCCGCGGTCTGTCCTTACAACAACGATAGGGTATTATACAATTGTTTGCCTGTTTATTTTCGATTAGACTACATGGTCCCTATACTACAATTGATCTCATTGAAGAGAACTTCGCTTACCATTGTACCGTGACATGCTCATGTAATGCATTGTAATGAGATTGAGTCCGTGGGGACGAATTGATATAGCCAGAGGCGTTTCATTTTATGACGCCGGTTTTGAACAGGTGGGTTATAAGGAAAGGATAATCAAGATTTGCATGTGACTTGAACAGGCGATTTTATCGCGCGAAATAATCTATATTAGTACGTGAGTACAATGTATTTCAAAAAAGGCCTAGGTCTGTAGCATGTCAAGATGTGAAAACATGATAATTGTATTAAATCTATTAAATGCTTCCATGTAAGTAATTTATTTTTCAAACTAACTCTGGAACATTTCCACTAATGAGATCGTTTTCATGTATAGGTCTCAGGAGTTATCTTCCCTGCATAGTCTGAAATAAAGTCGACTGCGCGTTTGCGAGTTCCTTCCCCTCGAATACAAAACTTCAATTCTGACAAACAAAAATATGTTTGCTTGGTTACAAATAGAATTAAGTGGATAATTGTCATCGCAAACAAGATCGTTACTAGGTTTGATCGTTTTAATATGAACAATTCATTTATTAAAAAGTAAAAGGTATATATCCTGAACGGTGACAGCTGACAACCAGGATACTTATTACACAATAAAAATGACAGGTGTGTACAGTGACGGCTGACAGTCAGTACACGGTACCTGTCGATATAAATGACAGGTGTGTATTATGTACAGTGACGGCTGTCAGTCAGTACACTGTACCTGTCGATATAAATGACAGGTGTGTATTGTGTACAGTGACGGCTGACAGTAAGTGCACTGTACCTGTCGATATAAATGACAGGTGTGTATTGTGTACAGTGACGGCTGACAGTCAGTACACGGTACATGTCGATATAAATGACAGGTGTGTGTTGTGTACAGTGGTGGCTGACAGTCAGTACACGGTACCTGTCGATATAAAGGACAGGTGTGTATTGTGTACAGTGACGGCTGACAGTAAGTGCACGGTACCTGTCGATATAAATGACAGGTGTGTATTGTGTACAGTGACGACTGACAGTCAGTACACGATACCTGTCGATATAAAGGACAGGTGTGTATTGTTTACAGTGACGGCTGACAGTAAGTGCACGGTACCTGTCGATATAAATGACAGGTGTGTGTTGTGTACAGTGACGGCTGACAGTAAGTGCACGGTACATGTCGATATAAATGACAGGTGTGTGTTGTGTACAGTGACGACTGACAGTCAGTACACGATACCTGTCGATATAAAGGACAGGTGTGTATTGTGTACAGTGACGGCTAACAGTCAGTGCATTGTACCTGTCGATATAAATGACAGGTGTGTATTATGTACAGTGACGGCTGACAGTCAGTGCACGGTACCTGTCAATATAAATAACAGGTGGGTATTGTGTACAGTGACGGCTGACAGTCAGTACACGGTCCCTGTCGATATAAATGACAGGTGTATTTGTGTACGGTGACGGCTGACAGTCAGTACACGGTACCTGTCGATATAAAGTACAGGTGTGTATTGTGTACAGTGACGGCTGACAGCCAGTACACGGTACCTGTCAATATAAATGACAGGGGTGTATTGTGTACAGTGACGGCTGACAGTCAGTGCAAGGTACCTGTCAATATAAATAACAGGTGTGTATTGTGTACAGTGACGGCTGACAGACAGTACACGGTACATGTCGATATAAATGACAGGTGTGTGTTGTGTACAGTGGTGGCTGACAGTCAGTTCACGGTACCTGTCGATATAAAGGACAGGTGTGTATTATGTACAGTGACGGCTGACAGTCAGTGCACGGTACCTGTAAATATAAATGACAGGTGTGTATTGTGTACAGTGACGGCTGACAGTAAGTGCACTGTACCTGTCGATATAAATGACAGGTGTGTATTGTGTGCAGTGACGACTGACAGTCAGTACACGATACCTGTCGATATAAAGGACAGGTGTGTATTGTGTACAGTGACGGCTAACAGTCAGTGCATTGTACCTGTCGATATAAATGACAGGTGTGTATTGTGTGCAGTGACGACTGACAGTCAGTACACGATACCTGTCGATATAAAGGACAGGTGTGTATTGTTTACAGTGACGGCTGACAGTCCGTGCACGGTACATGTCGATATAAAGGACAGGTGTGTTTTGTGTACAGTGACGGCTGACAGTCAGTACACGGAACATGTCGATATAAATGACAGGTGTGTATTGTGTGCAGTGACGACTGACAGTCAGTACACGATACCTGTCGATATAAAGGACAGGTGTGTATTGTTTACAGTGACGGCTGACAGTAAGTGCACGGTACCTGTCGATATAAATGACAGGTGTGTATTATGTACAGTGACGGCTGTCAGTCAGTACACTGTACCTGTCGATATAAATGACAGGTGTGTATTATGTACAGTGACGGCTGACAGTCAGTGCACGGTACATGTCGATATAAATGACAGGTGTGTTTTGTGTACAGTGACGGCTGACAGCCAGTACACGGTACCTGTCAATATAAATGACAGGTGTGTATAGTGTACAGTGACGGCTGACAGTCAGTGCACGGTACCTGTCAATATAAATAACAGGTGTGTATTGTGTACAGTGACGGCTGACAGTCAGTACACGGTACCTGTGTAAACGTGTGACCTATGCCCAGATGTATTGCACAATTGTTCACCCGAGTGAGATATCGTGCAGGGGTGAGGAATCGTGTTTCGAACGCAGCACTTTTGCACGATTATTCACCCGGGTAAGAATTCGTGTCTGGTTGAGAAATCGTGCCGTTACAATCGCATGCTAATTTCACGTCATCGATTTACTACAGGTATAGATTTCCAGTGGGAATTCCCTTCACAAAGCCTCGTTTTGCAATTTGATGAAACTTTGAGTGGAAAACACTTCACCTTTTACTTGTTTCAGTTATTAGGGACAAATAGATATGAGAACAATGGTGGCTGGGCCATCAACAAAGCAAGGAGAATTTCAAAATCATCAATAGGTTATCTGGTTTTATCTTTACACTTTAGGATAATAACTGGACATGCTTTACACCGAAATACATTATCACGCCTTTGTATTGTAAAATTGCAAATCTGACAAGGCACTCTGTGGTAGATCACAACAATGCCTCCGGTTTTTTTAATATTACGTGAAAGTAAAGATGACAATAGGTACAAACATGTATTAGGTAATGTAATGCACGTGGCGACATGCTGGACATAAAAAAATATCAAAGCGCATTGAAAATCAAGGATCGATGCATACAGCACTTGTAGTTGTGTGACGCGTAGCAGAATCCTGAAAGGGTTGATACAAGTTTGTCGGTTTCCCCAATAATTCTGGTGCAGATTAGAACTAAAACCAATTATAATATAGCTATAACAGATATTCCCAGAATCTGTACATCTAGATTAGACATTGTAATTTCAGTTACCAGGACACTCAGAAATTCAGCCTTTTCAAGGCCATACAAAACATCTCGACATAATATTTAACATAAAAATGTTTAATTTTATCACTTTGCTTCCCGGAATGTATTTAAGCTCTAAATTCATATTTTACATCTTAA